CATTGAAGAATGTGTCCAGCACCAGAAGCTGCGTTGGTTGGGACATGTGTTACGTATGCCGAACCATCGTTTGCCGAAGAGAGTGCTGTTTCCCATGCCCAACTCAGAGTGGCGTAAACAGAGAGGTGGCCAACCCATGACCTGGCGGAGGAGTATGAAAGAGATCACGAAAGGCTTGGATGCTGTCGGTGCTACTCGCCTTTCAGGATGGGAACCGCATGATCCTCACTGTGCCTGGTTGGAGACACTACAAGATATGGCTGCCAACCGATGTCAGTGGCGTTCTTGTTGTCAGTTTCTATCCAGATTGCCTGAGTGAATGTCTGGAGGTGTAGGCACCTCGGAATGATTGTGTTAAGCTAGCACTAAGTCCCTCCCCCGTCCACCTCTACTCTTTTCTTTACAATAAGGCTTTCAAATAAGTCATGGTTGTACGTCAGTGAAGCATCGGTGTTGAACACTGATGTCATGCTGTCGATGATGATTGTCTTCTGACCTATTGGCTTTCATATTTTATTGAAAGGTGGATTTCTACCAGTCCGCGTTAGAACTTAACAAAATTTCGATGCGTTCTCAAAGGTCCCTCAATTGTTTTGTCTCCAACTTGAATGAGTTTCCTCTTGATTCTCGAGATAATTTCCTAAGTGTGACGCATACTTTGGCACGAGTCAGAGAGTGATCCTTGCCGCACTCGGCTCCAGCATCACTTTCGTGATTAATTTATTGCTGACAACTTTTGAGCACTCAGTAACGTAGTCCACTTAGAGTCCGTACCACTCCTTTGTATGAGACCATGTGGCAAGCTGGTCCACTTCACACATGCGAAAGCCGCTTCACGAAGGAACATCTTTTATCCAAAGTCAGTTCTTGTTTCTCCATTGACTTACTATTAAAACACTAAAAATAGTCTTTTAGGGCCATACGACCCTTCTAAAGGACACTACTCTACCAAACGGATTTTATTTGCCTGATATCTCCCTACTTCCATTTCGCTCCACGGACCTGTAGACGAATACGTTCACATTACGATGCCGGGGCAATGTTTTGTTCTACTATCCTCTATTGTACACGAATGATGCTCTCCAGTTTTTTAAGTTTTGTTGCTGGGACGCCTGTGACTTCATAAAGACAGTTGATGCGCAACCACCTCGTGGAGTACGGAGCAGTGACACATTTGCTTCGAGAGATCAGCGCCATTTCCAACTTGGTTGCAATACCAACGTGGGAGAATCTGAGACTTGAAACCTGAAGAGAGGTCCATTCTGTTTCCGATGGCAAGCTGTTCAAACGAAAACAAGTGTCTGATCAATGCATTAGCTAAGGCTCATATAATCCCAGACCCATAAGGTTCTGGCCAGAAACAATAAAATCATCCATCGTCGGAAAAGTGGTATTTGGCGGCATGCAATACGAGAGAATACATGGCGAAATATAGTTACGGAGACCTACAGATGATTCCTCTGAGCCTATATAAGAAACAACCAATTCTGGCATACTTCTACAGAATGCGGTAGAGTTAGGACATGATTTGGAAGAAATAGACTAATCAGCTTTGTTCGTCAGATTTCTACTTCGTCATGAGAACGGCCGTCAGCCTC